AGGGTAGAAGCTTTCTTGAGTCACTGCTCACTTCTTCAGAAGTGAGCAATGACTCACGAAAGCTCCTACCGGCCACCGATGTTCCCTCTAAGCCAGTGGTGGCGAACCTGTGGCACGTGTGCCAGAGGTGGCACTCAGAGCCCTCTCTGTGGGCACACGTGCCATCGCCCCAACCAGGCCCAGACCATTATTAAAATGTCAAATTCTCTCCCAAATAATTTTAAGTAAATGAAAGCATTTGGGATTGCTTTCCTGACTTTGTTTGAATCATCTTAAGTTAATGTATGAGTTGTTTTTTCTAAAGTGAAACCTCAGTATTCAGGTTAAATGGCCGTGTTGGCACTTTGCGATAAATAAGTGGGTTTTGGGTCGCAGTTTGGGCACTCGGTCTCTAAAAGGTTCGCCATCACTGCTCTAAGCTGAGTTAGTGTGAGCTAGCTCACAGTTTTTTAGCCTCCGGCTCACCCATTTTTGCCTTAGCTCAGGAAGGGTGGCTCCAAAGCAGTGAGCAGTGTTCCCTCTAAGCTGAGTAGTGTGAGCTAGCTCACAGTTTTTTAGCCTTCAGCTCACCCATTTTTGCCTTAGCTCAGGAAGGGTGGCTCCAGAGCAAACCAATTTATGCAGTAGCCAAATTGCTCGCTCACAACTTTCGTGCCAGTAGCTCACAAAGTAGGATTTTTGCTCACAAGACTTCACAGCTTAGAGGGAGCATTGCCTGCCACATATTTTGTTAATCTTTGAAGCTCTACTGGACTCTTGCTTTTTTTCTGCAATGAAGACTGCCACGTTCCGGCTTCCCACAAGGCCAGAGGTACTTGATACCTACTCCACCCTGTGCCGCAGTGCCTTTTTAGGTGGCATATTTATTCCCTAAATAACTACATAAACAAAAATTAAATATACTGCAGGAGCTCCTGTAGAGCAAGATTCGAGTGAAGCGGCACTTTAAAAGACCTACAACATTTTCAGGGTACAAGATTTCGAGAGTCAAAGATCCCTTCGTCAGATATCTGGAAACCTTTGTCGATCTTTAAGGTACCGCGGGGTCCTGAAGAATCCTGTTCTTCGGCTTCAGACCAAGACGGCTACCTACCGGAAACACTCTCCCATCGATGGTCTCACACGAAAAACCTCATACCGCACATTTTGACTAAAACCTTGTCTTAAATAGCATTCCGTTCATTAAAAACAAAAACAAAACGCTTCCCCAACCAGTCCTCTACTGGAAATAATGGACAAAAAGGCCTCAGAGGAAAGAAAACAGCAGCCCTCCCTCCCCCTCCTTCTTATATCCCGGAATGAATAGAAGCCTTACATGCTCTGGCAGGAGAGACCTCTGTCAACATCCCCTGAAGAGCCACCACCGGATTCCAGAAGCAGAGGAGGGAGTGCAGGAGGAGGAAGAGGAAGAGGCCGGATTTATGCCCCACCCTTCACTCAGAGTGGCTTACAATCTCCTTTCCCTTCCCCTCCCCACAACAGACACCCTGTGAGGTAGGTGGGGCTGAGAGAGCTCCTTCGAGAACTGCTCTTGAGAGAACAGCTCTGAGAGAACTTGTAACTGACCCAAGGTCACACCAGCAGCTACATGTGAAGGAGTGGGGAATCAAACCCGGTTCTCAAGATTAGAGTCCGCGCTCTTAACCACTACGCCAAACTGGCTCTCAACTTTCGGTCTTGCAGTTCTGTGAAGGAAAACGTGACAGGGGTGAAACAAATGCTGTGGATGTGTTGGTAAGAACCAGAATGGACCCCAAAGACAGTGAACACCCTGTGCTTTTGCGGAGCCAAAAGACTAGTTCCTATTACACACACAGCAATTCCTTTATTGGCATTTCACAGAGATAAAAACATAGTATCTGGGAAATAAAATTCAGATTCTACATAAAACACAATTTCTGTTAAAAGATACCTTGTGTTGAGCACTTACAGAATTTTACTACGTAGACTAGTTCCTATTAAGTTCATTTTGCTTTCACAAGTAAGGAACCCCTAAAAAACATCTGGCTACCGTACCTCCAGTTTATCAGGCAGCACATGGCGTTCCTCCTCATCGTCTGAGCTGTCGGAGTCATCAAAATTGAGTAGCATCTGGTCATTTTCTTGCAAGAACTTGTAAAAATCCGGATCTCGTTCCTTCAGCCGTGAGAGCTGGTCTTTGTGTTCTGACGCTTTACCCTTCTTGGGTATCCTGAAGAAGGAGGATTAAAAAAAAAAAACACATGGGAATGAATTGTTGTCGCACATTCTAACATCACAGAATCCTTCCCTGATTGTCTTCCCTGAAGAAGAAGCTCTGGACCACAGCCCTGGTCACCTAGTGCACTGCAGAGGGCTAGGAACGGACCCTGGCTCAAGGGTCCAAATCTGCTCTGCATGTGCAATTTCCAAGGTCCAATCCCTGGCATCTCCAGTTGAAAGGACCATATAGGAAGTGATGTGAAAGACCCCTGCCTGAGACCGTGGAGAGTTGTCGCCGGTCACAATAGACCAGGGGTGTCAAACATGCGGCCTGGGGGCCGGATCAGGCCCCCAGTGGAACTAGCTGTCTTCTACTTCTTCTTCCCGTTCTACTGCTGCTGCTTCTGCATCATTGTAGGTTTGCAGCTGACAGATACACACACCTGAACAGCAGACTCAAAGATTGCAACAGCACAGACATTTTGATGTAATAATTCAGAGCACGGGGTGTCACTGTTAAATAAACAAAATATTGTAAGAGTGCTGTGTTCTGACGCTTTACCCTTCTTGGGTATCCTGAAGAAGGAGGATTTAAAAAAAAAACAACACATGGGAATGAATTGTTGTCGCACATTCTACCATCACAGAACGCTTCCCTGATTGTCTTCCCTGCTGAAGACCACAGCCCTGCTCACCTAGTGCACTGCAGAGGGCTGGGAACGGACCCTGGCTCAAAGGTCCAAAGCTGCTCTGCATGTGCAATTTCCAAGGTCCAATCCCTGGCATCTCCAGTTGAAAGGACCATATAGGAAGTGATGTGAAAGACCCCTGCCTGAGACCGTGGAGAGTTGTCGCCGGTCACAATAGACCAGGGGTGTCAAACATGCGGCCTGGGGGCCGGATCAGGCCCCCAGTGGAACTAGCTGTCTTCTACTTCTTCTTCCCGTTCTACTGCTGCTGCTTCTGCATCATTGTAGGTTTGCAGCTGACAGATACACACACCTGAACAGCAGACTCAAAGATTGCAACAGCACAGACATTTTGATGTAATAATTCAGAGCACGGGGTGTCACTGTTAAATAAACAAAATATTGTAAGAGTGCTAATGTTTTTAAGTAAAAAAACCCCTTTGTGTCTGTGTCCTTTACAAAGTTTTTATCTTCACTACCTGGCATTACATTTTATGACACACATGGCCCGGCCCAACAAGGTCTCATTAACAAATGAGTTAGACACCCCTGCAATAGACAGTACTGACCTTGACAGATCAATGGTCTCCCTCAGGATGAGACACTATCCCGTGCATTCATGTTCTAAAGCGCCTTACTAGTTCATTCAAGGTGCAGGCCAAGTGTGTTCGGCTAATTAATTAATTGTTGCATGGCATTGTGTGTAGTATAGCCAGGAGGTCCTAAGTTTGTCTGGCAGCCAGCAGCTGTAGCTCTTTAGTATTATGCACCGCTAGGTGGTGAGCTAGACTTGTTTTTTAAGGCAAGAGATGTTTCAGAGAGGTGTCTCTATATTGCCTGCCTCTGCGTCCCGGCCCTGGTATTCCTTGGAGGTTTCCCTTCCAAATACTAGCCAAGGCTGACCTTGCTTAGCTTCCGAGAGCTGATGGGACCGGGCTAGCCTGGGCTATCCAGGTCAGGCCACCGTTGGGCTTCTCAATCAATTCAATCTGTTTATTAGGGTCAGAGACCCATCAAATAGCAACACATCGTGACAAATTTGTGATACAACCAAAAGTAGCCAAATAACAAAATATACAATCCCAAACAGATACAGCCTAAAACAGGGGTGGCCAAGCTTGCTTAACGTAACAGCCACACAGAATAAACATCAGAAGACTGAGAGCCGCGAGACATGAACAAATATCACACATTTTAATTGGAAAACATGTAAATCTGCTTTTTATAAACCTTAAATTAGACTGCGTGAAAGAGCGGCCTGCGGCTCCTGAGCTGCAGTTTGGCCACCCCTGGCCTAAAACCCGGGTATACAAATTCCAATACCAATTCTAAAATGTTAGACTTAAAACTGGTAAAAGGTTAACTATTTCTGTTTAGCAACTTTTCCCGGGCTTCTCAGTACGGACAGGCACTCTGCTCTCTACAGCAGTGATAGGCATTCAGTGGCCCCGTGACATTCCACCCGTAGCTCTTCAGAGCGCTATTCCCCAGTGTGGCACCTGGCCATAGAGATGTGAAGGCCCGGAAAAAAACTGGAAAAATTCGGGGGGGAAACGGTTTCCCCCCATTTTTTCCCTGAAGCCTTTTTTGTGTTTTTTCCCGAAAAAATTAGCATTTCTTTTGTCTTTTCTAGATTGAAAGTCATTCTGTTACTTTAGGAACATAAAATATGACTATGGACATTTTTACTTGGCATGAAATTATCACAACTAGCATATTAAAAATATAGTGTATCCAAACAATTATTACAAACAGAATACCCACCCACATGCAAAAACAAAACTGAAACCTTTTTCTTTTCTTGTGACAATAGCACCTCCTAAAGGAAGAAATGCACCTTGTTCTTGCATTGGAGAGTTCAATTTGTAACCTAGGATTTGCTTGTCCTCCGTGCACAGAAATTAGATCGATCTGATACCATACATATTTTTAAGAAATGATTTGGAAAATATTTGAACACCTGGTCTTAAAATATTTTATTCATCATGTTAAAATAAAACGTTTCATAATCAATTTTTTTTTCTTTTCTTTTTTCAATTTTTCCAATTTTTCGGAAAAAAACAAAAAGGCTTCAGGAAAAAAAACGGAAAAAACCCATTTTCCCCCAAAACTTTTCCGGCCCTTCACATTTCTACACAGAGCTGAGCAATTCATCACAATCCCTAGTGACCTTCCGCCTCTTACTTTTCTGCAGATTTAGACTTAAGCGCTGCCTTCTTCTTGCCGCTGGTCTTTCTGTTCTGACTTTGCTTTCTTCCTGCGCCTTCTTCACCGGAATCCACAGCATCTCCCCCCGAATCCCCATCCACTTCGGAATCAAACCCAGAGGTAAGGAATTCATCAACGCTCAGCTCAGCCAGTTTTCTAGTTCCAGAAAGGTGCAGGCGAGGGAGAGAAGCAAACGAGACAGATTTAAGGGAGCTGTGGACAGAATAGCTGGAAAGTAAATCAGTTAAAATACGCAAGACAATCCAAAAGAGTCAAAAATTTTATAGTGCAATTCAAGAATTTCAAACAGATTCATACAAATGTAGAGCCCAGGGGCACCTTTACAACCAACAACGTTTTGTTTGAGGTATGAGCTTTTGTGTGCTTGCACACTTTTTCAAATACATCGGAATGGTAGGTAAGGTTCAAACGTATAGACAGGGGCTGAGCAGCAAGTTAGCACGTTCAGCCCCTGTCTATAAGTCTGAACCTCACCTTCCACTCCAATGTATTTGAAAAAGTGTGCATGCACACGAAAGTTTATACCTTAAATAAAACTTTGTTGACACAGAGAGTACTCCATCTTTCTGTGTCATACCTCTGAGGATGCCAGTCACAGCTGCTGGAGAAACATCAGGTCCTACAATACCGAGACCATGGCCATACAGCCCGGAAAATCTACAACAATTAATGAACTCCGGCCGTGAAAGCCTTCGACAACATATTAAAATGCTGCCGGTCTTTTAAAGGTGCCTCTGGACTCTAAATTTGTTCTACTGCTTCGGACCAGCACGTCTGACCACCTGAAACAGCTTCATACGTTATCTTCTATTGACACCACCAAACTAAATAAATCATTTTTAGATATCCTGAATCCAGTTTCTCAGTATCAACCTCCTTGCATGGCTGAATGATTATTCCAACTTTCTTGGTTCAGGATCACTTCCTAACACTTCCAAAGTTCAGTTTTAATAAAAGACACTGCCCATCAGTTAGGATAATCTAGGTAAGTCCCAACTTGGATGCTTTCGCCTCCATGGACGCTGTACCCTCTGGTCCATGACACCTGACCTTTAGAACTCTCAGCCTCTTTAAGCGTAAGTTCATCCCCAAAGTGAGCCCACAAAATTCCCCACAACTTTTCCAAATAACCAGCAGAAATGTATTCTGAGTCACTAGATTTCCCAATTACATTAATGACGACTGGGAGATCACCAAAATGAAGATCAGGGGTGGTGGTGGAGAAACTGATGCTAACTTTACACATGTACACAGTAAATTCAAAAGACATTTAAAGATCCCACATATCCATAAGCCTGAGGCAGCATGCATCTATAACCGCACAAAGCCCCATCACTACCAAAATTTGACTTAAAAGTTGGATTCAGTTATTTATAATTTACTAAAAATGATCAACACTAACAGATCATTAGGAGCTGCGGTGGCTCAAGTGGTTAAGACGCTGAACTGCAGGCTGTGGAAGGTCAGTAGTTCAGCAGTTCAAGACCAGAGTGCACCACATGACGGAGTGAACTCCCGTCTCTAGTTCCAGCTCCTGCCAACCTAGCAGTTCGAAAGCAAGAAATTGCAAGTAGATAAACAGGTACCACTTTGGTGGGAAGGTCACAGCGTTCCGTGCACCTTGGTGTTTAGTCATGCCGGCCACATGACCATGGAAACGTCTTCGGACGGCGCTGGCTCTTCGGCTTGGAGTCGGACTCGACTGGCTTTTGAGCAAGGGAACCTTTACCTTTACCAGATCATTAATACAGTCTTCTTCCAGATGAGCCTGCCGGGGTCTTTAAGAGCTGTATCGGTGGCTCTTCTCTGGGTGCTCCTGACGTCAACGGGTGGTGAGACGAGAGTCACCCTCATTATGGAATACTTCCCTACAATATTTTTGTTTTGGTACGAGATTAAAATCTTTTTATTCTCTAAACTCTCCAGGAGAGCTTGATCACCTAGATCTGGGTCCAGAAACACCTTACAGAACAACAAGATTTTGGGACATATGAGACTCCAAGTTTCCTTTGTCAGCAACTACCGAAAGGCCATTCCCTGAAAGCCCTGACCCTGGATAGCCCAGGCTGGCCTGACCTCATCATATCTCGGATATGGTACATCCTCATTTGGACTACTGTGTACAGTTCTGGTCACCACACCTCAAAAAGGATATTATAGCACTGGAAACGACGGCTGAGGGGTGAGATGATGCGTGGGATAGAGCAGGTTGAGAAAGAAGGACTTTTCTCCATTTCTCACAGTACAAGAACTCGTGGGCACTCCATGAAATTGCTGAGCAGTCGGGTTAGAATGGACTTCTTCACCCAAAGAGTGATTAACACGTGGAATTCACTGCCACTTCTTCACACAAAGAGTGATTAACACGTGGAATTCACTGCCACAGGAGGTGGTGGCGGCTACAAGCATGGACAGCTTCAAGAGGGAACTGGATAAACATATGGAGCAGAAGTCCATCAGTGGCTATTAGCCACAAGGTATAGATAGGGGCTCTTGGTCTGGGGCAAGGGATGCTCTGTCTTCTTGGTGCTTGGGAGGGGGGGGCAACAGTGGGAGGGCTTCTAGTGTCCTGGCCCCACTGATGGACCTCCTGATGGCACCTGGTTTTTTGGCCACTGTGTGACCCAGAGTGTTGGAGTGGATGGGCCGTTGGCCTGATCCAACGTTGGCTTCTCTGATGTTCTCTTATGTTCTTAAGCTAAGCAGGGTCAGCCTGGGCTAGCATTTGGATGGGAGACCTCCAAGGGACACTAGGGGGCGTGATGCAGAGGCAAGCAATGGCAAACTACCTCCGAAACGTCTCTTGCCTTAAAAAAAAAAAGTCTCGCTCACCACCTAGTGGTGCATAACACTAAAAGAGCTAGAACGTCTGCCTGCCAGACAATCTTAGGATCTCCTAGCTATACCACACATGCTGCTATATGGTAATTATAATTAATTATATTATACCCTGAAACTCTCGATAGTCCTAAGGTGGCAGTGGACTCAAATGTAGCTGTTCTACTGCAGACCAGCAGCTACCCTCAGTGTCGCCTCTAAGCTGGGCATGTGAGCGGCCCCGCCTTAACACAGGAAGCCCTGCTCAGCAGCAAACTGGAGCGGCATGGGGTCTTGCACTGCCCATTTCCCACTTTAAGATTACAGCAGTTATATTCTGCTCAGGATGTGAACTGCTCCATTCAATAGGGGCAAAAAAATTAGAGGGAACATCGGTTACCCCCTGAAACTGTCAGGATTGATGTTTCTGTTATATCACTGCATTTTATCTGAGTCTTTTACTGTTCTACCCATTTTTCTTGTTCTAATATACTAGCTGGATGCATTAATATTTTTATTTTATTGTGTACTGTGGGGAGGAGGCTTTTCAAAACCATGCATTCTTATACAAAAGAAACGTGCGCTAAGATAAGGCATCTGCCATTTGGACTGAGACCCTGGCTCAATACAATCATACCACAACACTGAGCTGTTGAACCACTTTATAAACGGGTAACATTGCTAGGAAACCCTGTCATCATAGTTATCAAGAGCAATGCTCCCTCTAAGCCGTGGAGTCTTGTGAGCAAAAGTTCTACTTTGTGAACCACCGGCATTAAAGCTGTGAGCGAGCGATTTGCCTTCTGCATAAATTAGTTTGCTCTGGAGCCATCCCCCCCCTGAGCTAGGACAAAAATGTGTGAGCCGGAGGCTAGAAAACTGTGAGCTAGCTCACACTAACTCAGCTTAGAGGGAACATTGAATTCAAGAGAGCTCTTTTTCTGGGGGAACACGCCAGAACACTTTCAGAACACCTCTTTGACAAAATTATTTTTAAAAATGTTTACAAATTCGTGAGTTTTCACCCTACAGATTGAAAACTTCATTTCCCTCTTGAGAGTTCTGGCACACAGACACACGATTATTAAATGCTCCGAGGTATCTACTGGGGGGAGGGGGGGGCGACCAGTCCTGCTTTAATTTTAAAACACTGACTCTGAACATAGACGTCGAAACTTTCACTTAAAAGGACATTTACAGAGGTTCTTCACTATTATACTCCACATAACATAAAGAAACTCAAAGAAACCCCACCACATTCAGTAGGACTGCTTCCCAAGCCCCATGGACTGGGTTACATAATGCCCTTTTCTGCCCTGGTGGAGGAGTTTAATGCAGAACCCTCCCCCAGATTCCGGGAGCCGATGCTCAGGGGTGCATTCTGCAAGGACTCTAAGCTTGCATTAACGTCGGCAACGGAGGAGGCCCACCCTTTAAGAGCCCGCTTACCTCTTGGCGGAGGCGGCCATGCTTGCTCCCCGCCGTCTTCCAGCTGCAGCAACGTGGTCCGAGGCGCTTCCTCTCCCAGAATGCAACAGTCGCGATAGTAGACCCAGCGAAAGCCGGGCCAGGTTGATTCTTAGGTTCACGGGCAGCGGCTGGGAGGAGAGAATCCAGCTCGACGGGGACCGAAGCGGTAGGGCGCATTTGGACAGAACTGTGCCTTTTTGCTGGGTGGCTGCCGCAGTGGCTCTTGAATTCTCGCCCCCAAACATTTAGGAAAAGGAGAGGGAAACACCGTTGTTGGCACCAGTGCTTTTAGTTTCGAACCGATGTGTTTATTGCACCATTGATTGTGGAGCAGGGGCGCACAAAAAGATTGAGTTCGAAGGGTTCGCATTGAAAGTAGGATTACCCGTTGGGGGGGGGGGGATGGCCTGTCCCTTTAATAGAGGCTTAATGGCATAGTATACCAGGTGATGTTATTTATCTCCCTGTCTTGAAAAGCTTCATCTGCCTTTTTCCTCACATTAAGTCGCCATTAAAGGGAGGGGACAGCTTTTCTCCAGGCCTGTTGACAACCCTAATTGCAAGCCTCTCCGACCTTTCTTTTGGTGGCTGGTTGCAATACAGGGTGAGTCTGGAAAGAGGGTTGGAAAGCAACCAGCAGAAAGAAACGCCCTATAACAATAATACAGGCCAGTCTGCCCTTTGGCTTCCTTTTTTAAAAGTTATGAGCCTCTGATGAATAGAGTTCGAGTTGTGATATCAAAGGCCTGCACTGCTGCTCCCAGGAAGCGATCCGATTTTTAATGAGTTGTAATCAGAGAGGTCATGGATTCAAATGCATCTCTGCTGCAAGCAGGGCCGGCTCACTCACTAGGCGAACTAGGCGATCGCCTAGAGCGGGCCGGCCCTTAGGGGTGCCAAACTGCACCCGGCCCCGTAATCTGGGAGTTTCTTGATTATTTGTGTTTTTCATTCTTCCTAAAATGCATTTATTTTTGAAAATTGGTGGGCGCACAGGGAGGGGGGCGCCAGAAGGGATCCTCGCCTAGGGTGCAAAATAAGCTGGGGCCAGCCCTGGCTGCAAGCACACAAGGTGAAGCAACCGGAGCCAGTTTGGTGTAGTGGTTAAGAGCTAAGGACTCTAATCTGGGAGAACAGGGTTCGATTCCCCACTCTTTCACATACAGCTGCTGGTGTGACCTTGGGTCAGTCACAAGTTCTCTCAGCTGTTTTCTCAGGATCAGTCCTGGAAAGAGCTCTCTGAGCCCCACCTACTTCACAAGATGTCTGTTGTGGGAAGCAGAAGGGAAGGAGATTGTAAACTGCTATGGGAGTCTTTGTGAAGGACGGGGCATAAATCCAACTGTTCTTGTTACACACCCCACCCAAATTGGCATTATCTTGGCCTCCTTTGTGGGATTTATCAAATGACAACCTGGAGGCCTCCACAATATCACAGGAGGAGGGAATGATTTGAAAAATGTGATAAACCCCCCCCCCCCCAAGATCTCCCTCTCCAGGATTCTGTGAACTCCCTGACTCTTGGGATTTGCAAGTTCTCCTCCTGCAGTCATGAAATAATTGACATGTTTGCTAGTTTAGGCAAGCTACTGTCCTAGCTAGTTAAGTTTAGGGACCCAGTGGTAGAGTCTGCTTGTATTTCTCACCTGAGTAAGGTGATAAAAATGCATATTTAGTTAGCATTGGGATCCTCCAATTGGGTAATCAATAGACTGAGGATGGGCTAGGGAGTAAGCACTGGGTTTCAGTTGTATTACTCTTTTTCCTTCTCCTCTAGTCTGTTCTCACATGAGGTTTACAAGCTAGATTCAGGTGCGTAGCCATGTTGGTCTGAAGCCGCAGAACAAAGTTTGAGTCCAGGGGCACCTTTAAGACCAACAAAGTTTAATTCTGGGGATAGGATTTCATGTGCAGGCACACTTCCTGCACATGAAAGCTTATTGTTGTTGTTGTTCAGTCGCACAGTCAACTCCGACTCTTCGCGACACCATGGACCAGATCCCGCCAGGCCCTCCTGTCTTCCGCTGTCCTCTGACGTTTGCTCAATTTCATGTTCGTTGCATCTAGGACACTGTCTAACCATCTCATCCTTTGCCGTCCCCGTCTTCTTTGACCTTCAATCTTACCCAGCATCAGGGTCTTCTCCAGTGAGTGCTCCCTTCTCATTGGGTGGCCAAAGTATTTGAGCTGCAGTTTCATTATCTGGCCTTCCAGGGAACAGTCAGGGTTGATTTCTTTTAGGATTGACTGATTTGATCTCCTTGCAGTCCAAGGGACTCTCAAGAGTCTTCTCCAGCACCATAATTCAAAAGAATCTATTCTTCGGCGCTCGGCCTTCCTTATAGTCCAACTCTCGCAGCCATACATGACTACTGGGAACACCATTGCTTTGACCATGCGGACTTTTGTTGGCAGGGTGATGTCTCTACTTTTTATCATGCTGTTTAGGTTCACCATCGCTTTCCTCCCAAGGAGCAGGCGTCTTTTAATTTCATGACTACTGTCACAGTCTGCAGTGATCTGGGATCCCAGGAACGTGAAGTCTGTCACCACTTCCACGACTTCCCCTACTATTTGCCAAGGAGTGATGGGGCCGGATGCCATGATCTTAGTTTTTTTGATGTTGAGCTTCAAGCCCACTTTTGCGCTCTCCTCTTTTACCCTGAGTAAGAGGCTCTTAAGGTCCTCTTCACTTTCTGCCATTAGAGTGGTATCGTCTGCATATCTGAGGTTGTTGATCTTTCCCCCAGCAATCTTAATTCCCGCTTGTGATTCATCCAGGCCAGCATTATACTGTGAATTGTACTTTATGTGAAGCTTATACTGTGAATTAAACTTTGTTTGTCTTAAAGGTGCCCCTGGACTCAGACTTTGGTCTGAGGTTTAGAAGCCTTTAGAGTCCAGATGAAGATTAGAGCTGTTGGAATATTTATCCTTTATTTAATCTCCCAGTTAGCCTTTCCTCATTAGTAAGTAAAGTTTTATTTTAAAACTAATATACAAGTGTTGTGCTGTGTTTATTGACTCTGCATAATCAAAATACCCAAACAGGTTAATTCCTTCCCCTTTAACTGACTTTCAGTCCTCATCAGAGCCTTTATTCCCTCTGGGTTAACATACTCACATTTTTCTGCGTATTTAGGGAATCCCCAGAGATCCCTCCTTTTCTGTGGGGTGTGTCTTTGTTTCACCCCTACAAGCCCAGACCACAGCTAGTTGTAGTGTGTGTGAATGCTGTAAGCAATTAGGCAAATACTTAGTATTCAGTCCCTCTCAACCTAATCCATCTCACAGTGTTGTCAGTGTAAAACAGGAAGGGCACTCTACATACTGCTCTAAGCCCGGGGTGTCAAACATAAGACCCCGGGGGCCAAAAACTGGCCCATCCAGGGCTCTTACTCGGCTGCAAGCAACTGGTACCTATGGAAATGTAAGGTACACCTACTTTGATGGATCCCTTTGAAAAAACGTAGTCCTGTGTGTGATTAAATAAATGTATAGGAGGTTCTAAGGATCCCCTAGTAAATCAATTGCTTTCGCTGCTTGGAATCAATTCCTTTTGTTTGTATTTTGAGTAATAAATCCTTTATAAAGTTTATACCTGGTGTTATATTTTATGGCATACAGGGTCTGGCCCAACAGAGTGACATTCATGTCAGATCCGGCCCATGTAACAAATGAGTTCGACACCTCTGCTCTAAGCTCTCTGCAAGAAGAGCAGCGTTTGAAAAAGGTCCCTGCCTGCAAGGAGCTTGCATTCTCAAATGTGCAATGGAGGCAAATCTGTTGAGCAAATAATCCAGATGGATAAACCTATCTCCCATCTGCAATATCAGTTTCCCGCCGGCGACACCCCCGGACCCGGTTCGGGAGCTAAAACCACGTGCCTGCTGACCCACCTCCCGGCTTTCTCGGTGGAAGCGCCTTCCTTGCCCTCGTGCGTCCCCCAGCCGGCGTTTCTGACTACGGAGCGGGCGGCGACTTTAAACGCACCCCAGCCCGAGCCAGCCTGTGATTCGCGCTGGAGAGGCTTCGGGGGGAAAGTGCTTGTGTTTTCCACTGTTGCCAGCGGCGCCGAGAGAGCCCAGCCGTGCCCGGGAGTCCCTGATGTGCGAGATGTGCAAAGAGGGAGACGCGTGAGCGTGCAAAAGGGAGGGGAGCGAAGCTTGCCGGGGAGGCTCCTGCAACGGGCGAGCAGTTTTGCACGGACCAACTTTGGAGGGAGGCAGACCCCCCCCCC